TTCTAAAGACTCTAAAGACTTGAAGTTCTGAAGACCTAAGGTTCTAAGAAAAGGGTTCTAAAGACCAAGTGCTAAAGACTCTGAAGACATAAGTTCTAAAGACTCTAAAGACCCAAGATTCTAAGAAAAGATTCTCACGACCAAGTGATGAAGACTCTGAAGACTCTGAAGACTTGAAGTTCCGATGACCTTGTGTTATGTTCTCGCTTCTAAACTCATGATCGCAGAAGCCTCTGAAGTGCAGAAGGAAAGAAGATAATGTTAATATGGTACAAATAGTACATGGTACAATCAACGTTTCATTCCACTGCCATGAAAGGACAGACGCGTTGCACGATCTTATCCCCCACGTGATTGCTCAAGCTGCCAATGTTTCTGGAAATCCAAAGAGTATCCCTCAACGGATATATTATTTTATTGGCTATATAAAGGCTTGAAGACTAAGAGAGAAAGCGGCGAATTTTCACTGAATATCCACGCACAAGCGTTGTTTATAGCTTTCATATTTTTAGTCTATTGTTCTTAAAATAGTTTACATATTCAACTTGTGAAGAAGCAATATTATTGTAAACAAAACTTGTATTCAAACAGTTGTTTGATTTCCTTAAGGGACCGGTTAGGTCTATATCCTTAAGAAGTCTATGACTAGTGTGCCTTAGAAGTTTGATTTTCCTTAAGAGATCGGTTATGTCTGTATCCTTAAGAAGCCTAGGACTTGTGTGTATTAGAGGTTGTTAGTTACTTGCGGTTAGCTTATGCATTGTAATAATCAGTTGGATTATTGGATTAAGTCCTCGATTGAGAGAGGTGAAATCACCTTGGCGGGCGAACTAGACTAGTTGATCGTTTTCAAGTGAGCTAGTATAAACATACCTTATTCTTTACTTCTCATTCTTAATTATTGTTATTATCTAGAGTGAAGGAAAAAGTATTTTAATTAAAGAGGAATATTTTTAAAAAGAAAAGTTTTGATTTAAAACCCAATTAAAATCCCCCTTTATTGTGTTTTTCACATCTTCAAAAACCATAGATGCATTACGGGCGCGTATAATGCAGCCCAGCCTGAATGCATTTTTGTTTCAGCACCTAGTACAAATTCCAGAGGCCTGTTACGGGTGCCCCTAACGCACGTTACGACCCATAACAGGAGTGCAACTAACACCTCCTTGTGCACACACCCAAGCCAAATTATCAGAGGCCTGTTACGGGCGCTCGTATTGCGTGTTACAACCCGTAACAGGCTGGAGAAATCCCATTATTTTGTTTCCTTTCTCGGCTTGATTTGTCTCTGATCTAGGATCTCTGACATTGATGTTTAGGCTAAACATGACAGCAAGTCATTGAATTTATTTGATGAGATATTTTTATTTTATGACTATAAAGATCCCTTTACAAGGGTTTTTGATGTTTGAAGTTTTATCTTAGAATTTTCTTTTGCAACTTTTACATTCCTCTGTACAAGTCTCCACTGGAGCAATTGGATCAAGGTTTTATTCAGTATTTTATTTTATCAGGTTCTTTCTATTGTTTTCTTTATAATTTATTAAATCATGCATGCTATTATGATTTATTTGATTTCTTGTTTTCTCACCATGAGTGAGTAGCTCTATAAGGACTAAGGGTCATGAACCCTATCAATGATTATCCGTAGGAACTGGCTTAAGGTAGTTACGAGAATTCCAACATTTGTTTGATTTAAAATTTGAGTTTTGGATTCTAACCTCACTACGAAAGTAGGCGTGTTTATAGGTTTTTATCTTAATCTAAAAGGATAAGTGTGAACACCAGAAAGCAATTTTTAAACAGTCAAATTCGAATTCACGAAAGTGACCGAAAGAGATTGAGAAATTATCCCATTTAAATATTTGTGCAAAACAATGATCACTGACGAACGCTTCTGTGCGAGCGAAAGCCGACGTGCGTCTTTTTCGTCAGAGGTAGTGCAATTCGCTGGCGAAAGCAGGAATTCCCTACAATAATATATTTTTCTATAAAATTGTGTCGAAAATCTCGTAATAAAAATGCTTAAGCCCTACGAAGAAGTCATAGATAGTAGTCATGACTCTAAAGTCCTGTTTGTTTTATCAATCTTCAAGTTATTTGCAATTAAGTTATTTTCAAATAGTGCTTTTGAAAATAAGCTATTTTGACTTAAGTGATTTTTCACTTAAGATTGTTTATCTTCAACTATTCGATTGCTATAACTTTACAGTGATATGGTAGAATTCGGTACTTAATCATTGGTCATTGTGGATTTGATACTTTTTACTACTCTGACATTAGCCGTGTGCTAGCGGCGTGTCATGGAGCTTCTTAAGAGTTCTCAAACTCTAAAGATTCCAAGCTCTCTTGCTCCATAGTTCTGAAGATTCTGAAGACAAAGTTCTGTTGAACGAGTTTTAAATATTCTAAATATTTCAAGTTTGTTTATTTTTGTTCTTGTGTTAACTTCAAGAGCTTAGTTTCGAAAATATTTTATTTCTAGAAAACCAATTCAAACTCTCCTTTCTCATGTTTCTTGCAATTTCAAATTGAACCTAAACTTTAATGTTTCCACACATATTTTGAAATTAATTAGTGCAACCATTAACATGTCATATTCATGTTCTTCTTATTTCAATTTTGCAACCGTTCCTAATATATGATCTATAATAATATAAATAGGTGAATTCTTATCTATTCAACCCAAAAAATTGGATAAAATTATCCTTATAATAAAATGCGGAAATTTAATTCTCTCAGTTTCTCGATACTCAATTACTTTATTTTCACCGATCTTATGATTCAAAATTCTAATAATCCTCTTTCATTTTTCAATTTGTTATGTTTAATTTGTTGATTCATTGAACTTTGATTCTCATCTTAATTTTGAAGTCCTTTGAAACTAATTTGAAATGGGTATTCATTTTCATTTAAAAATTATATTGGGTTAAATCTTTGACAAGATTTTATGTGAGTTTATTGCATGTTTTGTAGTGGATGAAGAATTTCTTAAAATGGATGAATTATTTGAAAATTGGGTTAACTTGTTGGTGAAATAAAGAGAAAAGCTATCATATATACACTATCAAATCAGATTAAAGTTTTTAAATTATTTATATAATATAACAAAATAATATATTTTTATTGGATAATATTATATGATATAGTAGAATAATATATTTTTATTGAATGACAACGTAAAATAATTATATTTTATTAATGCATTTTCATTAAAAAATTGAAAGTATTGCAAATAAATGTATCCCCATTAAAAAAATTGAAAAGATTATAAATAAATAAAAATGAAAAATTACAAATATATATAATTTTATTTTGTTTTTAAACAGAAAAGCAGAATAAATAAAGGAAGTAAACTAAAGAAAAAACAAAAAGTTGAAGGCTAGCTGTATATACTATCATATAACGATGAAACAGATGACATTGCCAACAGCTGGCTTTTTTCTCTCACAAATTGGGATTAGGATTCACGAACAGTGTTTTTTCTAATGAGATTATGTCCACTGATTTATATATTCAACATCCTTTTTTCCACTTTTTAAAATTTACATCATTTTCTCTTTTTTCTATTTAATAATTCAATTAATTCAATTTTTACTTACTATAATACTTTATTCCATTATTTTTATTTCGTATTTTTATTTTATTTTAGATTTTTATTTTTATGATTTTATATTAATATTAATTATAGATTGAAATAAAATTAATTAAGAGTTAAACAATTTTTTTTCTAATTTTATTTTTTTAATTTCTTTTAATTTTTTTTTTAATTTTATAGGGATATAGTCATTATTAAAATAAATAAAAATAGATAAAACAAAAATTTATTGGAGATTAAATAAAAAAATAAAGAGAAAAAATGAATTTTTTTGTGTATCCAAATCAAATAAATCAAATCTTTATTTATAGATAAAAGAAATGATAAATTTTGATGAAAATAAAAATAAATAAAAAATTAATTTATTATAAAATAATTAATTTTAAATAATTAAGATGAATTAAAAATCTAAACAATCAAAACAACCAATAAGATTTTGTAAAATATTATACGTGTCTTCACTCCTTTCTCATTTAACTTTTGTAATAAAATTACAAAAATTTCATTTTTTACACTTTAAGTTAGATTTTTTAAAGTTTCTTATTTTTTCATCACATCAATAATCACTTTTTGTTAAGGTGGGGACTCAATTATGCATCTCAGAGACACTCAATACCATAAAATATTGCTCACCAGCCAAATAATATTGTACTACGTGGCAACACTGGAAAATTAAGAGCATCTGCATCCATGCCATTCAAATTAATAATATAAATGAACCTTATATTTCTTCACACTTTTTAATTATTTAAACAATTTCACTATATTTTCTAAATATCCATATCAGTCATTTAAAATTCTAAATTGGATCATATTAATCTTACAATATAGTTCATTTATGTTTTTGCAATACAAATATGGAAAAGTATTAGTTTTCTTCAAAAGCTATGGTAGTTTTCTGCGGGAACGGTGGTCTAGAAATTTGGTCCAATTACATTTAAATAATAATATATTCTAACACTTGTGGCTTTAAAATAGTTAAGACACCACCGACGTGGATGCTCTAATAAAGTGATTATTATTAAGTCACTGACTAATAGTTAAACCTCACAAGTTTCATGGATTTTGGAAAATTTCCGCATTTCATGCTACTAACTTGATCATTAAATATGACCATTATTAGTATATAATACAAGTTGTTTAACTTAACAACTTTCACTCCTCTAGCAGTAAAAAATGTGAATAAAAAACTTTGGTTCCAGAAAAGTAATTACTAGCATGAATTTAGAGAGATAGTACTAGCATGCTGCCAAAGTTTGCAGAACCCCACAGCACCTTTATTTTCCCTTTACTTGTCACTTATGTCCCTAACATTAGGGGCTACCATACCCATACCTCACCACCAATATTCCCTTCCTTCATTTCATTCAACAAAAAAACCACATCACTTCACTTGCACACCATGTTACTGACAAAATGTTTCAACCATAATCTTCTCCTAAACTTGTTCATTTTCTTCATAATTCCTTGCTATATTGTGTCCCTTCCTATACCAGATGCAGCAACTGTTCAAACTGTCACAACAAATTCCTCTTCACAAGGAACCATCCCTGCTTTCCCTGAACAAGCTGATATTGCAAGATGTCCTTTATCTCTCTCAGATGAGCACTTCAATGGAATCAAAAACGCATGCACTATCAAATCCAACAAACATGGTGGCGGTGATTCTTATGATAAGCTTCAGCATAGTAGATGTTGTCCTGTGTTAGCTGCTTGGTTATATTCTGCTTATTCTGCTACTGCTCTTGGAACAGGAAGGGTTTCTTCTGGTTTGGAACATGGACATGCTGCTGCATCTTATGATATGCCTCTGTTGCCAGATGATTCTGAGACATGTGAGAGTGATTTGGGAAGGGCTTTGAAAGTTAGAGGAATTGAGCTTTTTCAACCTAATGAGACTTGTGATGTGGTTTATTGTTATTGTGGGGTTAGGCTTCATCCTTTGAGCTGTACTGAATCGTTTAAGGTTACTCATAGTGGAAATCTTGTTGGAAATGAAAATGTGAAGAGGTTAGAGACGAATTGCTTGAGTAGTAGCAATGATGTTAATGGATTTCCTGGTTTAGGAGGTTGCTCTAAGTGCTTGCATAGCCTCTATTTGGTAAGTTTTATGACATTTGTTTTACTTTTTGTTCTTGTTGCTCTTTTTAGCAATCTTGTGTACTTGTTTACTTGGAGTTTTATGGATCTTGCTCAAAATTGAATAAGATCAATACCAAATTCATTAAGGTTTCATCTTCATTGAAATCTTCAAGTTTCATGCTTGATAATTGGGGTAATCCGAGGTCTCAGTCAAGGCCAGAGAAAATTTCTGTTTGGACTAGCCCAACATAGAAATTGTTAGCACTTACTGGGATTCGATAGATATTGAGACCTTAAGATGAACGCACTCTTAGGACCCAAGCCTTCGCCAACCAACCGACTCTTCAAGTAGTTAATGAGCTCGTCGAGGAGAATCTGAAATCAAATCCTAAATGAAACAATCATTGGCCAAACTTTACTTATCTTCCGACTGTATTTTGAACTACCAGAATTCATTTCCCCAACAACCAAAGAGTTAAGACTACAGAAACCTAAACAATGGTATTAGTGAAATAGAAGTTTTAAGGTTGTTGGCGTCAAGCCAATTTGTGTTTGTAATACTCCTTCTTTCCTAATTTCTTTTCTCTATTTCATAAACCTTCTTGGAAAGTTTACAAAACATAACTAGATGACTTAAGTAGTATCCCATGTGCAAAATAGCTCTTGCTTAAAGAAGTATTTTGTATCTTAAAGGAAAAGACATCATAATCAATTTTTAAGCAGCGTCGTACATGTTTGGATTTGATAAAATTCCTGTGAACCATTGTGATTTTGACAAAAGTTACGCTCTGATGATTCGATAAAATCACTGTCAAACTCACCGTGATTCCAAATATGTCCTAATCAGTAAAGATTATTAACTAAATGACGGCTAATAAGTAAAAGTGAAATCTGAATATTCCTTTGATTTACATTTCTTACTTAACTCATAATTACTAGCATTAGATGACAACATCTGTGACCACATTTGGATTTATTGTTCCTGTTTCTGATTTATCCTTTGGAGTTTACAAAAATGCTGTCCCTTCTGTATAAAATCTATGCATTTGTCTCAGAATCTTAAAACTATTACTATTAACAATAATTGTACATAAGTTTTTGTTTGTTTATTGCATTTGAAGATACTTTCAAGTGCATTGCTTCAGAAAAAATTAATAATCATAGCATACCATAATGTTCGGTATTAAAATCTTTACAGTATAATCATGTGCAGCTTTGACTATTTTTTTCATAAATGGATGTTACATTACACCAAACCTATTTATTATATCAAAATGATGTGCTGTTTCTTTTAATTATTAGTATCTAACTGAAATAATGCATACTTTTTTAATACAGCTTAGAAAGAAGACTTCAAATTCAAGCAAAACAGGAGACAGAACAACAAAGATCCATAACAAAGATTGTGAACTAATGGGATTAACATGGCTTTTAGCTAAGAATAGAACAGCTTATATTCACACGGTTTCTTTGGTTCTTCGCGCTTTGATGTTGAGTCCTGATGGATCTGATCCACAATCATGCACTCTTAATAGTGATGGAATGCCACTTGCTGTTGATTCATCTGAAATGTATGATCAATCTTCATCAACTAATCTTCAATCACCAATCTTTCTTTCTTTGTTGTTTTTATATTTTGTACTAGTTATGCGTTTCATTCTATTATCCACCTAAGTTGAGAACAAAAAGATTGATCTCTATCTTGGCATTTTGTAAATTTGAATATTAGCTTTTGTGCCTAGCTTGTAGGTGTGTAATTCTTATTAGTAATTAATTTAATTGGGTTGAGATGTTTTTTTAAGCATTAGGGAGAATTATTTATCAGTTTTGTCAAGAAACTCACACACTTGCAACTATGAGGTTTTGGATTCGAATAAAGAACAAAGTGTCCAAATTAACAATATCGATTTTTATGGGTTGACTAAAATCTTACTAATATTTCATCTGAAACCTTACTTGCGGGATAGATTTTGAGTTTGAATCAAGAACAAAGTATCCTATTTAATAATATCGACATTTATCAGTTGAATTAGATCTTATAAACTTTTTATTTGAAACCTTACTTGTGGGATTTGAGTTCAATTTAGCTCTAGTAATCCTAAAATTTATAGTCAATTTTAAGGGTGTGCAATGTGAGTTATGACACATAATCTACAATTTATTACAATTAAACCGTGATTAAAAAGAAAGAACTATTATAGGATAAATAAAATCCTATTTGATTGATCTACAAAAGAATTCCAAAAGTTTAAGATTCTAGATTTTTATTTTGGTGGGCTCCATAGCCATGTGGTTATAGTGACTACTGACTAGTGCATTGTTTTGGTGGGACAAAGAATTGGATGTACTTGAACAAGTTTTGGTGTCATTATTTTGAAGACAGTTGTGTGCTTCACGGGTGAGTTATCATTTATGGTGTAAGTTAACTTCTTCACCAGAATGTTCATGTACTCTTTTGTCAACTCTTTATGGTTTGCTATCTGAATTTAACTAAGACAGAGACATATCACAAGTTCAACATGAAACTAGAACATAGCAAAAGGGGAAAATCAGATTAAATGAAAAGTGAAAATGGTGTCTTTTTCAATGGAATTTTAACTACTATTAGACTAATAAAAAATGCTTGCACAATAATACAATGACAGTAATCTTTGAATAAAATCTCATTTGAATCTCTCACAACAAATAGAAATCCAACTTAATTATTCAGAAAAAAAGACAACTATTAGTGTTTCACAAAACATAAATGGAGACATATTGTTGGACATTCTTGAACCGTGACAAGGCAGGTTCTATACTCCAATAAGAAAAAGGTTGATTATTTGACATATAAGATTAAACTAGATGATTAATGCATGAATATAGTTTTAATCATCTAGAGACCATATAAGACATTCGCATTTAACAGACTTTTATATAAATCAACCATGAAAATAGAGAGATATTAGTTTAAAGTAGATTTTCATACTCTAAAAAAAGAATTATATTACTACAGAATTGTCTAGTCCTTAAATGATTTATACTAATAAGAATAATAGAAAATATTATAACTTGAAGATGTGATTATAAGTGGAGACAATTATCATCCTACAAACCGATTTTATAGGAATGGGTTAGGCTTAACCCAAATTCTAAGATACATAATCATTAATCATATCAACATTTAAATTTTTTGGAGCCAATATAGGACTACTCTATAAAAAAGATACATTGATAATATTATCTAAAATAAAATTATATGTGCTTTCAATAATTGTGGCAAGATGAATGTTACATGTTGTAATAAGTAAGTCGTGTGGGATATCAAATGTAATATCAATGTCATTAAAATCTACCGTTGAACTATCACCAATACCCAAAATCCATTGATGGTAAACGTTTTGTTTCGGTTTCATATGCAGTTAGTGTATAAACAGTTGAAGACAAATGTTGATGAGTTATTGTGAGCCTTAAATACATGTATGCATTGGAAACCAATGTCAGTTGGTTTGTTTCCAACGTTTTAATGCTCCAATGTACTCCATTAATAATCATTTAGTTAGATAACCAATGTTTGTCTGCTTTTCAATATCTTAAAAATTTGGTGAACAATTTATGAATAATTTAGAGCATATATATATATATATATATATATATATATATATATATATATATATATATATATATATATATATATATATATATTACAATTTTTTATAAATATAAATTATTATTCATAGATATAAAAAATGAGTTAGACATTGTTTTTATTAATTCATTTTACATTCATCTCCAAGGGACCTTTAAGTTACAATACTAAGAACAAACTTATAATGAGATTCAAAGCCATTGTCTTAAGTGTCCACTTCAACATTACAAAATGACACATCACATTATCTCACCCTAAATCGCATATTAGTCAAATCGGCAGAAACACTGAGGTGCTTCCACGATTCTAAATTGCATAAAACATACTTAAATCAAATGAGTTACATCGCTTATCTTAAAGCCAATTACACTAACAAGTTGACACTTATCTATTAAGACCCTCAATATTGCCCCAATGAAGATATCAATTCCATATAATGTATTTGAATCCAGCCGCTCTAAAATTAGGGACTTTACCCCTAGATATGATCATATAATCAATTTACTCATATACTACTTGATAGCATGTAATCTAACTTAGACATCAGAGTATCTTTTTCAAGTATATCCCTGCATCTAGAGAAGCAATTGTGATAAAAGTGGGAGAGTAAATTACAGTATGAAGGAACAAAAGCTCACAACTTTGTTCCATAACAACGTTTACCCAATTCTATTGAAGTCTTCAATGGAGAATAAATCATTTCTTTTTTACTTCTGTCTAGTTGTCAATCCTAGAAGCATCATACAATATAAATATTTATTTGTAACTGAAAAACTTCATAAACATTAAATATGAATGAACCTCCTCTATAATATATCTCACACTCACCGAGAATTGAGAAACAACAAACTCATGGCAATCTTACTCAAGGTTAAATATGAATTCACATGTAATAAAAAATTGTGAATTGGTGTACTTTGAAAACTAAAACGTTATTTTGAACAACTTTAAAAGTTATGATGTTATGATCATATGCATGGAAAATAAATGAGAATATCAATCTAACACAAGTTCGTCAATTATCAGACGAAAGCAAAGAAATCCGAAATACTTCAAGAAAGCGCAATAGTCAGAAATAATATCCAATGAATATCAAGTGTGAAAATAAATTGCAATCCACGAATAGATCACATCGCGTCAGAGTTCCTGCACACAATTCACATCCAGACAAAAACGCAAACAGTATATTTTCTCATGAAATAAGAATCAAGATAAATCGCGCCGGAAGCAAATCCACAAATCGAATGCTTTTCAATCACATAACCAACACTTTAGTTACATGATTGAAAGCTCTCACAATGTACCTTGAACAAGTCAACAAACGCATTAGTAATAATAAGAAACCACAACCGGAGTTATGCACTCGCAACACAATTCAAATTATGATTAAACCATGAAGGAATAAAAACTAAATTCATATTGGAAGCATAAACTCAAACTTCGGGTAACATTGCACCACAAAAACGAGTGCACAAAAAGTCAAAATGGAATCGCACGAAAATCACACGGCTGCTTCCAAACTTACCAAGAAGTTCACAAAAGTATATACCATGAACTAAATCACATCGGAAGCACACTTTACCTTATGGGGCAGCATCAGGGTTATAACATGAATTGTACCAAAAAATGCACTGAAATCAAAGAGAACCAATCACAATGGTTCATAAACGAACAACAAAATGTACATGAAGATCCAAATAGCAATATGTTCAAAAATTAGGTGCACAAAATGTCGGAACAGAATCACACAAAAATTTCCCAGTAGCTTCCAAATGCTTCAACAAACTCAAAAAAGTACATGCTTCGAATTAATTCCAAGCGCAAGTACCACTTCAATTACCAGGGAAGCCGTGTATATTTGTGTGAATTTCAATCGAAATCAAGTTTAAACAACGGAAACAAGTGCATAAAAGTGCTCAATGATTCAAATATCATCCATTATGAGAAACACACAAGTTACAAACAACTCAAATCACATGTTAATGCAACTTAGAGGATTTGAAACTCTTAATGTCAAAAAATAGAATTTCTCAACAAATTATTTGAAATGTTGCATTAACTCGTGAATTACAACTTGATTCTCATTATAATTCCATAATCGATACTAAATCTCAAATTCGGTGTTTAAAAATCAATATTAATTTTCCAAATGAAATTCAACATCTAGCATCAATTATGTAACTATCTAACCAATTCTGGATTTCAACATCCTATCCAAAATCAAGAATCAAGTCATGTCAACAAATCTCCATAATTCAATTCAGCACAAATTCACATCATGTCAACATGTATAATTCAAGATTTCAATGCACATTACACAAATCAAGTTCAATTCATGTAACAATTCTCAACAACAAACATAATTCAAGAATCTCAACTAATGCTTAAATTATGCAATTCAAATCAATTTGATGTAATTACGTCTCTCAAGAATTTGCACAAACACATAAGCTTCAAGAAATTCACAATTCAAATCAAAGATGATTGAGCAATTGAATTACCTAATTAAAGTGAAGAGGAGTTTCTAGAAGATTATGTTGCCGGAAAATCGAAGCACGAAGAAGCTTGGAGGAACTAGCGGAACCGTCGGAAAACGGAGGGAGGAGAATGACCGCTATCGCGGTTTGGCGGAGGGAATTGGCCAGACTTTCGGTGGTCTTCGGCAGCGGCATGGCGGGCTTCGGTTCGTCGGAGGGAGAGTGGATCGGATCCCTGGTGGTTCGAGAGGAGGAGATTATTTGAATTTTGTGATTTTTTTCTTGAAGGTTGATGAATATTGTTAATGTTCTTGAGAAAAAAATGAGGGAAAAATGATTTTGATCTTTGAGAGAATAAAGAGAGATTTGTGAGGAGTTTTTTTTGGGAGTGAGTGAGTTATTAGAGAAAATATGAATTTTGAACTTATATATTCCCTTCAATTGGGCCTTGGACTTGAATTTGGATTGGGCCTTATTTTAACAGTGTCAGCAAATTTAACGCACAATGTAAGTACAAAATACCACGTCACCATTGGTGCGAAATCTCGACTCGAGCTCAACATAAAAAATGAAGATGATGAAATTTGTGACGAGACGTCGGAAGAACAGACTCAATGGAATAAATGACAAGAAAGTTATGAATTTTTGAATATCCACATACGCAGAGCTGAGTTAGCTAATGCATATTTTTCTCCGTTAATTTCTCCATTTAATTTGGAAAGAATGCCGCGAAAGAAAATACTCCGATCAAAATACGAACTCGGGGTATGAAGCAAACTTGTAGCTAACATCAATTTTAAAATTATGCCGAAAGAATCATCTTGATATGGTAAAAATCTAAGAAGTTTCGATTTTTACAATATCGGAAACAGTGAATTAAAATTCCGCTTCAGCACAATAAATTTCTCTGGTTATGCATAATTTCGAGGACTTTCCTCAATTAATTGATCCTCGACCCGAACATTTGAAATGAAGATTGCATCAAGATGGATTTTTTGCTCAAATAAAAGCTCGAAAACAATGCACCAGGTGAAAGTTATGAATTTTCGAACATCCGAAAAATAACGGTTCAACACTGTATTTTCATCGTATTTCCATTGTTTCTTTTCAAAGTATCCACACGTTCGAAGATCTTCCTTACCGAATCAGCTTCAGAACCTAACATACAAAATGAAGAAGACATTAATATGATTTTAATGCTTCAAGAACCGCTCCGTTACAATATTCAAATCATAAGTTATGAATTTTTATGTTTTTGCGTAACGACAGACTAACAATTAAATTCAGTACATTGTCTTTAAAGAATTAAAATTATTGGAGATCTTCTTCACAAAATTAGCCTTCAATCCGAATACGAGAAATGATAAGAAAATCACGACGGTCTCAATGCTCAAACAATCAACTGAAAATACTGAATCAGATGATAGTTACAAATTTCTAAACGCCCGAGAACAGATAACCAGTCATTAAATTCAAGTACCGTTTCAGGGAAATCAAATTATTCAGAGACTTTATGCACATAATTAACTTCCAGCTTGAACATTTGAAACGAAGAAAATATCTAGACGGTCCCATTTCCTAAGGAACCATTTCAAAACAATATCCTGATTGCAAGTTACGAATTTCTAAGCTTAAACCAGTCGAAACATTGTTTCTGGTTCACATTGTCTCAAATTCACTAAAACACCCGATTTCTCCATAATTTAGAATGCATGGAAGTACATGAGAGCTTGACATGATGATGGCTTGATTGATCACTGATTTTATAGCTTGTGAAACGTGCGAAACAACTTTAAACCTTGAAAAACCAGAGTTCTGCATTATTATGTTGTCCGAGGGAACGATCTTTTTGTGTGGCTTCTAGAAAGAAACGCCTCGATACCATGACCATCAATGATGCATGCAATTCTAAATGGCCTACTGATGGATATGCATAAGCTATGTTAGCCTTATAAAGGGGTAGGACAAATTCGGGGTATGACAGGGGCCCCCATTTATTTTCAAATAATATTTTCAATTAATAAGAGTGATATTTTGCATTCAATTAAGATCCTCGTCTTTCTCTTGCATTTCTCTTTCATTTTTAAAATGTAAATAATTCTTATTTATATACATTTCCCAATTCACATTCTAAAAAAAGCACCAAAACATGATAAATATGCAGATCTATATCTAAACTCACCGGTAATGACACTGCTATTATCCGATATAATTTTGATGCACCAATTAACCAAGCTGAAGAGGAAGATCTTGAATTTTCCGAAGAATTGGAAAGGGTATTGAAGCAAAAAGCAGACAATATACAACCATACCAAGAATCTTTTGAGACCGTTAATCTTGGGACCAAAAAGGATACAAAAGAAATCAAGCTATGAGCAACCTTGGAGGGAAGTGTTAAAGAAAGGCTGATCAAGCTCCTACATGAGTACATGGATATATTTTCCTAGTATTACAAAGATATTCCAGGATTGGATACAGACATTGTGGTGCATAAACTACCTCTCAAAGAAGGTTGTTCTCCTGTCAGACAAAAGCTCAAGAGAACTCGTTCAGACATGTCTGACAAAATTCGAGAAGAAGTCTTTAAGCAATTTGATGCAGGTTTCCTAGCCATAGTAGATTATCCGCCTTGGATAGCTAACATCATGTCGGTACCTAAGAAAGACAGAAAAGTATGAATGTGCATAGACTATCGGGATCTAAACAAAGCAAGTCCTAAAGGAGATTTCCCATTACCTCACACAGAAGTTTTGGTGGACAATATAACTCAAGCTTCAGTATTTTCTTTCATGGATGGGTTCTCAGGATATAATTAGATCAAAATAACACCCGAGGATATGGAAAAGAATACTTTCATGACTCCTTGTGGAACCTTCTTTTACAAAGTAATGTCCTTCCGTCTAAAGAATGCAGGGGAAACTTATCAACAAGCGATGGTCAAGTTATTTCATGACATGATCCATAAAGAAGTTGAGGTATATGTTGATGATATGATTTCCAAATATCATAGATAGGAGGAACACATCATTCATTTACAAAAATTATTTGAACGTCTGCGAAAATTCAAAATAAGGTTGAATTCAAACAAATGTACATTTGGTGTCACTATTGGGTTTTATTGTAAGTCAACGAAGTATTGAGGTGGATCCTGACAAGGAGAATGCCATACAAGAAATACCAAATTCAAGAACAGAAAAAGAGATTCGTGGTTTTTGTTGCAACTGATTTTTAAATCAGAGTCACCACCCTTAATTTTTATCCTAAAGGAAGGGAGTATAAAGGAACAATCCTAAAATTCAGAGTTTCTAGGTTTGACTCGGTTCTAGACGAGGGGAAGGTGTTAGGCACCCCTTATCTACCTTGTTTGCAAGGATACTAGGTTTAGTAGCACATTTTTAAGAAATAGGATTTTAATTATTTATTTAGGAAAAAGGTTTGAACTAAGTGCGAAGTTAATTAAGAAAACTCTTTGCATTCCTTTTTGAAGAATAACTGCTTGATTTGATTTATTATAAATAAAAAGTTCGACGTTTTTTTGCGTATTTTTTAGACGTGTTAATTGTAAAAATATTTATTGAAATGCATGATTAAAAAATGATTTAATGAAATAAATAAAAAATAATAATATTTTGGATGATTTTGGAAATATATTTGATTTAATAATAATAATATTTTAAATATGTACTAATAATAATATTTTATAACTATATAAAAATATAAAGAATAAAATAATAAAATAAATATAAAAAAAAATTTGAATTAAAAATAGGGGGTTGTAAAGTATAGCATAGTAGTAAAATAGGGAGGTTAATAAAGTAGGGCCTGAATTCAGATATTGAATTCAGGCCCAATAGGCCGGGGGTGCACTGGCAAGGGTATCAGCAAAGGTTGGAGGTGCATTAGCAAAGAGGCCCAAGTCCAGATCTTAGACTTGGCATGTTTGATGTTGGGGGTGTCATTTTTAACGTGTTAGTAAAGGGACAAAGAAATGGGGGAGTTATTAGTAATGGGCCAGGCCCAGGGGTTGTATTTGGGACATATTCGTTTGGATTGGGTGTGGTCAGGAGTATTGTGTTACTGGGGGTACGCGTGCATGTGTGTGTTGGATGGAGATCATGTGGGCATGATATGGGGGTGCCTGATAAATACCATGGGAGAGCGCGCGCTAGATTATTAGTCTTATTATATTTCATTTACAACAAAACTCAGCCATTTCAATACCCTTTTGTCTCTCTCCCCCTTTGTCCCACTCTCCTCTCTCCTCTAACACTGAACCCTAGCACCAATGTTGCGGCGGCGGTCATTCCTCCCTCTCTGTCTCAGATCAAACCCTAGCATAATGAAAAACGCAAAACACAAACTACAGAAACTATAGTTTTACCATTACCTCCAACGGCGTATTTTCGCTTATCCAAATTACGGTTTCCTTGGGGCTAACCTACTGTTCTTTCTTCTTGTAGATACGACGACAGAGGTGGCGTGACGGCGGAGATTTTGAAGTATAGGCGGCGACGGCTCCACCGAGTTTAGGGTTTAGGATCTCGAAACTCAAACCCCAAACGAGAATGTGATCGGCAAGGCGACAAATTCTTCCCTCTAATGTAAATTTTCGTCACTTTTCTTTTTCCTTTCCGTAAGAATACTCTAATTTTTCTCTCTCTTTTTTTTTGTATGTAATTTTACTGTCAATCTCTGTAATTTTGTCCCCCTCACTAATCCCCCCTATGTCCCCTTTTTATAGTGAATTAGGGTTTGTAGATTTAGGAAATAAATTAAGTTGTTTGTAATCTGTTCAAACTATTCAAATTATTTTTGTATTGATCCAATTCAGTGATCCTGTATTGATGAATCTGTTTATGAATTTTGATTTAATTCTGTACTTGTGTTGATTTTGTATTAAGTTGTGTTAAAAGCTTGTTTATGTATTTGATTGATTTGTATTGATGTGTATTGATTAGGTTGTGTGATTATGGACTTTATTAAGTGATTCTGAAATTTAAGTGAGAAGTTGAAGTATACGAGGAACAATTGATTTTGTTTTGAAAAAAATCTGAACAGTAATTGTTTCTATCAAACAAATCATTAATTTTGTCTCAATTAGCACAGTAGCTTATTTGTTGAAAGACTCGGGCCAAACGATTTTTCCTTGTTTTGGGCTTGTTTGGTTTTATTTTGGTTCCGTTGCAATAAGCACTTTGGGCTAGGATTGGAGGATCCGTGAAAGGGGAAAAAACCTTTGACCTCAATTAGTCAATGTTTTAATTAATGAGACAAATACAATTTTTTTAAATTAATTTTATGACATGGTAAAAAGGTTAATGAAATAATAACGTCCACAATGACAATGTTTAAAATTATAACAAAACACTCTCTTTTCTTTTCAAGACAAAACCAAAAACTGAAATGGCCATGCTACTTTTATATATTGGGCTTTAACCAAAGCAAAATTATTCACACCCCCTTTTGATTAAAACAAAAACATCTCCCTATTTTTAACTTGAAATGGAACTCCCTTTTAAGAACCTAATGGGCCAACAAAACCTAAACACTCCTTTTAACTAGT